CGACGAGAGTGATGAGGGGAGAGAAAAGGAAGGGAAGCGAAGACAGGAACGAAAGCACCACAGGCCACGAGAGAGACAAAAGCGAACAAGACGATAGCGGTTCTTCTTGCCGTTGCTGTGGGTTTGCAGCTCTTCGATTTCTTGTCGCCATTACAGAAGCAGAACGATATTGACTCTGCATCACTGCTGTCAGCTACAGCTTCAAGTTACTGTGCTCTTTAGCTCCAGTCCGAGTTTTCTGAGGAGAAATTTAAGACAATATATTTTTCTTTAGAATGATTTGTTACAATTAATTTATTTTTAAAAATTATTAGGTAACCAAAAATTGTTTAAAAATATAAATGCGTCGTATAAAATCAAGATATGCATGAAAAATGATCATCGGATTCAAGCTAAAGGCAAAGGCAGTATTGCTGTGCAATTTAATTTGGAACCTAAATTTCTTCGAAATGTGCTATTAGTGCTAGATCTGAAGCAAAATCTGCTAAATATTTAATAACTTTTATAAAATAATTATAAAGTTCATTTTGAAGATAGAGGTTTCAAAATTTTTGATTGTAGAAAAAATAATTATCTATTTGTCAAAGTTGATATAGAGAGGTTCAAAAAAATTTCAATGCAAATAAAATATGTTTCATAAGCGACATTATGAAATGAAGTAGCTGACTGCTTAGATTGATGGCATAAAAGGTACAATCATCTCAACTATAATACTCTAAAGCTGTTAAGAGTTAAAAATATGATTCAAGACTATCATTTATCAACACAAATTCGAGCATATGTGAAGAATGCATCTTTGGTAAGCAGTATCGAGCATCTTTTCTATTTGGAGAATCTTGGCGAGCACGTGTATCACTTGAGCTAGTGCACAACAACATATATGGAAAAATATAGACATTTTTACAATGCCAAAACTGGTACTTTCTAATTTTTGTTGATGATTATTTAAGGAATACATGATATATTTTTTAAAAGAAAAATCAGAAACCTTTAAAGTATTCAAGAAATTTAAAGCCATGGTGAAAAATCAAAGTGATCATAAAATTAAAATTTTATAAAGTGATCGAGATAGTAAGTTTATCTCGAAGAACTTTGATAGTTTTTGTAAAGAATACAGTATTCAGAGATAATTTATAGCAATATATACTCCTCAATAAAATAGTATTACTGAAAGAAGGAATCGCACAATTGTCGAGATGGATAGGTTGATACTAAAAGAGAAAAATATGTCTAACACTTTTTGGGCAAAACCAATAAATACAGCAATTTATATCTTAAACAAGAGTCCGTTAAAATCTATTCTGAATCAAACTCTAATTGAAGCATGGAGTGGGATCAAGCCATTAATTGGTCATATGAAGATTTTTGGTTATGTATATTATATTTATGTACTAATCAAAAATAAATCAGAATTTAATAATAAAAGTGAAAGATGTATTTTTGCAGGCTATGTTGATGGTACAAAAGGTTACAAGGTGAACAATTTAGAGAAGAAAAAAACTGATGATCAATAGAGATGTCGTGTTCAATGAGAATGCTTCCTGGAATTGGAAAGAACATAAGGTTCAAGAAAATCAGTCATCACCAACTATTACCTTATTAAGATGACAAACTACTCAAGATAGCACTACAAGACAAAATGAGTCTAGTTCAAGCTCACCTTCTAGTCCAAGTTCAAGCTCGAGTTTTAGTAGAAATGCCAGAGAATAGTTGACTACTCGAGAATCAGCTCTAAGAAGAGTAAGAAGTCTAGCAAAAATTTATTAGTCATGTAACTTCTTGATAGTTAAGCCACAAAGTTTTGAAGAAGCTGATAAATAAAAAAATTGGGTAAAAGCCATTGAAGATGAAATCCACATGATAGAGAAAAACAATACTTGAGAGCTAGTAGATCGACCAGAAAATCGTGAAGTGATTGGTGTTAAATGGATTTATAAGACAAAATTGAATCCAAATAGCTCAGTTTAGAAGTATAAAGTAAGACTCGTGGAAAAAAGATTTAAGTAAAAGT